CTCACGGGTCCGATACCGTTTCCTGCGAGGTTTTCCCCCCACTCTTGCAGACCAGCATGGCTTAAAGCAGACATCTCAGATTTCTCCCTGGGGTTGCGAAAGAGCCACCCGACACCTCTGTTGTGCCCTGACGGCCCCCGGTGCCACCTCATGGGCCCATTGTATCAGTCTGTGGCCCCGGGAGTCCACTTGAGCCACGAGTCAGAGCAGAGGGAAAGGGACACCGTTACAGAAGGTGGAGACTTCACGTCCAGTTAGGAAGCGCTGCCGGCAGTGAGGGTGATGTAAATGGGCAGGAGGCAGAGCGGGTCCCCCGGGAGTGGGCGGAAGCCCAGCGGAAGTTCTGCTGTTGCTCGATGCTCCTTCAGCACTCTCAGGAGACGAGCTCCTCGCTTCCTTCACCCAGCCATGTGGGCCTTATCCCAGCCTCATTTACTCTGGCCCGCCTACCACGGGACCTTTGCACATGCCTTCCCGGCAACCTAGAATCCTTTTCCCTCTCCTCTTCACGTGCTGAACTCGCCTCCCTCCAAGCCTCACCGCCTCTTGACCACACTAAACACCCACGTGATAACCCCCCCCACCTACCAGCTTCCCCTGCTCTCAACACCGGTCTTAGTTACGCTCATACATTGCCTGAGGAGTATTTGATTCGCGTGTCTTTTCCCCGCTGGACTAGAAGGTCTGCAAGGGCAGAGGCTGGGCAGGACTCCATTGACCATTATATCCTCAGCATCTAGCTTATCCTCTCGCCCTGCCTGGAACGTTCTTCCCCCAGGTGTTGGCGGGGCTGGCTCCTTCCCAGAACTTAGGTCTCGGTTCAAAGGTCCTCTGGGCGCCCCCACCCCTGCACCACATTACCACTGTCCGAAATCAACCCCCCTGGCCACGGGCAAGCTTCTGCAAAGCAGGAAGAGAGCCGTCACCAAGAGCAGGACGAGGTGGCACTGGGAGAGATAAACGTCGGCTGTTGAAGACCCCCAGTGAGCAGCCTGAGCTGACTGAGGCCACCACGGATACCAGAGGGCAATCTGGAAATGGAAGTACCGCGGGAGGGGTGAGGCGGGCAAGCTACTGACGCTAAGGGAGGGTCCCCGATCAGATGTTCTCCTCCTGGAAACGGGGAGTGCAGGCCCCAGACTTTTCCAGCAGGACAGAGAGCCTCTCAACTCCACTTCGAGTGACGCCCCCTGGTGAGGTAAGTCCTGTGCTGGGAGGTGGGGGTGGGGGTGGGATCCCCAGCGTTGCAGCGACAGGAAGCGTGCAGCCAGGGTGGAGGACCCTGGGGTGGCGAGGCAGATGACTGAGTCTGAGTCCCTGCCTTGGGACTTCTTAGCTTTATGGAGCTGGGTGAGCCCCTCAGCAGCCCCCCACCTCAGTTTCCCCATCTCTGAAATGGGTGGGTAATCTCTCCCAAAGAGGCTGTTGGGAAAATTAAAGGAGAACACACGTAGAGAAAGGCTACTATGAATGAGCCGCTGTGCAGTAGTATTTATTGTTACAGTGTTAAAATTCACTCTTGGGAAGACGCTGGGGCCGTGATCAGCAACTAAAAGGCCAAGAGCGTCATCTCTGTTCGTGGACAACTTTTCCCTTTGCGGCCAACAAACTCCCTCTGTGTCGGGACACCTTCTCACCAGCCAACTGTCGCCAGTAACGTGGGCTTCAGAAGTCGCCGTGTCCCACGGGCTTTCTTTCCTCGCCGCTCACCCGCCAGGAGCCCGTTGGAGCCTCGAAGAGCAGCGTGGACGGGACGGGCCAGAGCCTACGGGCTTCGATGGGAAGGGGGTGGGCGCAGCTTGGAGCTCTGGAGGGTCTGGGTGGCCCCGCAGCGGACGTGTCCTGCCACATCTTCCCGCTCTGCCACGTGCAGTCCTGTTTAGTGACCTCGAGGTTTGAGGTCGCTGTTCTGAGGCCCCCTCTGTGCTGCCTGGGCTGCGTAGAGGCCCTTCCCCTTCCCCTTCCTCTGGGCCAGCTTGTCACGCGGCTCCTCCCTGCCCCCTGCAGCCTGGGGCCCAGGGGGCAGGTGGGTGACTGAGGTGCTGACAGACAGATTTTAGGAGAATAGCTCTGCCCAGCTAATGACAAAGGGACCTTTCAGAGGTGTCTGGGTCAGAAAGCTGAGAGTCTGCTGGGCAGGTGACTTTTTTTTTAAATGTTTATTTTGAGAGAGAGAAAAAGAAGGAGAGAGAGAGAGAGAGAGGGAGACGGAGAAGGAGAGGGGGAGAGAGAGAGCGTGCACGAGCGAGGGGGAGGGGCAGGGAGAGAAGGAGAGAGAGAAGCCCAAGCAGGCTCCGAGCTGTCAGGACAGAGCCTCATGCGGGGCTCCATCCCACGACCACAAGATCATGACCTGAGCCAAAATCAAGAGCTGGACACATAACTGACGGAGCCACCCAGGCTCCCCGGGCAGGTGCCTCCTGGTGGCCCTGGTCCCCGCTTCTGGGAGAAATATGGGGTGCCTCTGCCTACTCTGCTTCTCCCTAGCCTCTGGCACCAACTACCCCTCTCTAAGGGGCCAGCACCCATGGACACAGATGATGCCACTCCAAGAAGCACATTCATATATTCACAGGTCCGGAAGCCACATCACCCTCCACGACCACACGACTCAGGCCCTTTGCACAGGATGTGGCAGGTCCCTGTTCTGCAGGCAGCCACCCTGCCCGCTTGAGTCACGAAAAGCCAATTCCAAACGGTCACTTGGCTGCCAAGGACCGGGGCGTCAGGTGGGAGAGAGTGTGCTATTAAGGTATCATTTGGACCGAAAGGTGCTTTCGAGGTTGTCCGCATCGCCCCAGGCCTGCTGGCCCAATGTTGCACATTTTGGGGACAATGCCATCCCTGCCGGTGACCCCCCCCCCCATACTGTCCACTTGCCCATCTTGCCCCCAGTGGGGCGGAGCGGGGGTGGGAAAGGCAAGCTCCATTTCCGACAACTCGGGTGAATGTTGGCTTCAGATAATCAGGCCCCCTTGTGCTACCCTTGCTCACCCTGTGGGAGTCATTTCCTGCCTGGTCTGCTGCTTCCCAAGAGGCAGATCCCAGGGTTCCGGGTCACCCAGACTGGAGGCTGGCTTGGGAGTGACCTGTGGCATTGGGTTAGAAGACGTTTTACTTCCCCCTCCGGGCTGCAGGCCCCAGGTGTGGCTGAATGTGGCTGGAATTTGGAACCTCAGCAAAGCCACCTTAGATACCAGAGCTTCCACGCCCGCTTGAGCCGCGGAATCAATGAGACCTAGAGGCTAAACATCAGATGAACGGAGGGCCATCCACCCGCCCACCAGCTGGGCGTTTGGTTTCCATGGGCAAGAAAAGCTGTGCTTATCTTAAGATCAGAGAGAAAACCATGGTCTTCGACATCGGGGAGGAAGGGTCACTCTCAAGTTCCTCAGGCCTCGGTTTAGGCTTTTCCCGCAGGGGGAACTGGTTCATTGGGCTGGCATGTGCTGATGGTTCTTGGGCCGACACCTGTTCAAGTCTTGGGAGTTCAGGCCTGTCATTGACTCTGGTGCGAATGGCCCCAATGGCGGTCGAGCATCGTGGTCCCAACAAAGGATTCGCTTTGACAACCAAAGTGTCAGGGGAACTCCAGTGCATGTGTCGTCCTCCCAAGTCATCACTGGCGCTGAGGTCAGCAGACTCACGCCTGAACACATAGATCCAACTGGTTTTCAAGGGTTGTGTCTGTGGACTTTTTTTTTTTTCTCTCTCTCTCTTTTTGGTCAAGCCCTACTGGGGGCTCTAGAGAGTCTGAACATTAAGCATTCCTTTCCTCCTTGTGCATGTTGTTCCAACCGGAACACTGTTGGGGAGAACCAGTTCAAGGTCAGTCCGGTGCTGTCAGTGGGAACTCAGAGCTCCCTTCTAGCCTGGTTGCTTGCCACCTGTCTCCTGAGAGGTTACAAAGTGGGTTACAGACATTAGCACGTGTTAATTCTCACAATGTCCCTGGGAGGGAACCAGGAAGTGTTGTGGATGCAGGTGTTGAGGCACAGAGGGGTGAGGCCACCGGCAAGAAGCCACATAGCCAAACAGTGGCAGAGTCAGGAAAAGGGCGGGGGGGGTTCTCTCCACCACGTCAATGACTTTGCTCTCCAGCCTTCATCTCCTTGATGAACACACCCCCGTTCCAGGTGACTGAGACCTCACCACACAGGTTTGTTGGGTTAATAGTGACAAGCATTTCCCTGCCCCCAATCCCAACCCCGTTGTCGAACTTGATCGTCGCCGGCCTGAGTCAGTCAGCCCGGATCCCGTCCTCAGGATGTCCCTCCTGACGACAGGAAACCTGCATTTCCTGGAACCGTTGCTGCTAAGCCCAGCCCCGCAACCTCCCGGCGCTGGAGCCGCGCCTGGGAGCAGGCCAAAGGCTTTTCTCCGCGCCCACCCCGTGTGCCCCATGGCTTTTGGGGTGGAAGGGAGTGGCCGCCCCATTTTGCAGTCTCCCAAGGGAGATTCAGCGAGCTGAGTCAGAACCCGGGTGCTCAGTTGTGGGGGGCACAGGTGCTGGAGCCAGGAGCCCCGCCAGGCTGGCTGGAAGGGCCCCTGTGCCAACGGGTCAGCCTCAGGCTGTGCTCGCCCCTGGCACCGCCCTTGCTGGGTGCCCTGTGTCCGGCTGGAGCCGCACCTGCGCTTTCTGGGAGGGTGCTCTTGGGGAACTGCCTGCCTCCTTCCAACCGCGGCAGCTCAGTTCAAGGCCGCGGGGACCAACCGGCCTGCTCAGTGGCTGGCGGTCACTCTGGGTGGGGCCTGGGTTATAGAGAGGCTGGGCCGACAGGTCCTCCCACTGAGCGGACAGGTCCACAACCCGCTGAAGACAGGCAGGCCGGTGTCCCCTCGTTCCTCGGAGCGCCCCTCTGAAACTGCGACAGTCTGCTGGGATTGTGCCCTGGAGGGGCGCATCCCGGGCCCGCAGCCACTATGTGCAGTGGTGACAGCATCTGGCTACCCTTCCTCCGCGGGTGTGTCCGTGTTGGGGCTGGTGGGGCGACAGTCCCTTACACATTGGTGACCTCGAGGCCGTTGTAGCCTTCCAGCCGGCACTGCTCTGGCCTGCCCTGGGGGTCGTCGTCTCCACAATCTTCATTTTGAAGAGAGCCATAGTCATCATGAAAATCAGGGTCTTTGCTGCTGAAGCCCCTTCCTATCTTCCCCAGCGGCAGCTGAGAAGAGAGAGATGAAGGTCAGAGGAAAAAAGGAACGGGGTGCCTTGGGATCTGGAAAACGTGGGGTCCCCCCATTCTCATCGTTTCGTGACCTCAAGCAACTTGCCTAACCTCTCTGTGTGCTTCCTGCTGCTCAGAGACCCCCGAGAGGATTTTGTGAGTCAACCCTCGGAGAGAGCTTTGGTTGCCCAGGGTGAGGACAAATATAGTCTGATGGTCCTCAAAAGTCTCCTACCTCCCTCCTCAGCAGGAGGAGCATGGAGAGTGGGTATAACAAGAGAGGCGAGAGTGTCTGAGCAGGGGCGTGAGGTCTGACTGCGTTCCCAAGTCGAGAAGAAATATTCTAGCACTTCCTGGTGCGTCAGAAAGGGTGTGCGTGTTTTGGAGACTCAGAAACTGGGCTTTGGATCCCTGCTTTGCCACTTCCTGGCTGTGTGACCTGGGATGAGTCATCTGCCCTCTCTGAGCCTCAATTTTCCCAGCTTCAAGGTGGGAATAGAAGTTCCTTTCTCCCAGAGTTGTCACAAAGAGTAGAAATTGGATCTGTGAAGCACACAGCCAGGTGTTGGCAAAGGGTGGCTATTATTAACCCTACACAGCAGGTCCTCAGTGTGTATTTATCTCTTATTTTGAACATATCTCTATTATAATCTTCCTGATGGTGCTTTGAAAGTACTTATTCCCTCGACTGCCAGACCAGTGTTTCTCGATCTTTTGTTCCATGTTGCCACCTTTAAAAACGGAGACTTTTCTGATATTTTCTCCTAATCCCACCCCCCCCATCAAATGTTCACCCCACAGATACACTGTGCTTCTGTTCATGTCCCGTATACATACCTGTGCTTCATACATAAAAAGAGTGAGGTTTTGGCCCCTTCCCACCAAACCCATTTTCACCCCATTCTAGACTGCACGTTTTGGACCGAGAGCATGGTAAGAGTAAGGGAGAGAATTTATTCATGCTTAGTCCCATTGATGCTCGGGGTGGTGCCTAAAACACAATTAGGATCCAAAAATCGTTTGCTGCATGAATGGAAGAATTTTTGGATTATCCACTTGGGCCATCTGTGTCTACACACCTCCATTTAGGAATCTGGGTCAGTCTGAGTCTGTGTGAACAGATCCAAACTGCACGTGCTTCCATATACCAGAGGCTAATCTGCTGCGATCGGTCGGGTCATTGGAGTTCAAGAGCTAAGTCGGTGGTTCTCAGAGTTTGGGGTGCATGGAACCCTCTGGACTGCTTGGCTGCAACCAAGGATCCCCGTTACCCCAGAGGCCCTTGGTTTTAGGAGGCCCGGGTGGGGGCTCCTGGGTGGCTCGGTCGGTTAAGCGTCTGACTCTTGATTTCAGCCCAGGTCATGATCTCACCGTTGGTTGAGTTCGAGCCCCGCGTCGGGTTCTGAGCGGAGCTCACAGAGCCTGCTTGGCATCCTCTGTCTGTCTGTCTGTCTCTCTCTCTCTGCCCCTGCTCACACTTGCTTTCCCTCTCTCTCATTCTCTCTCAACAAATAAACAAACATTTAGGAGGCCCAGGTGGGTCCCAGAAGCTGCCTGTGATTCTGATGCAGGCGGGCGAGACCTGTGCTTTGAGATGCTACTCTAAGCCTTGGGTGGGGGCTGGGCTTAAAGCATCATGCAGGTCGGTTGAAGGTGTCTTCCTCTCTCCCGTCTGCATCTGTGACCTGGTCCATTGGTCCCCCTCCACAAGCCAAGACAGGAGCTGGGAGGGGGCATCATGGGTCCGGATGACAAAAAGACCTCCCCCAGGCTGCAGGAGCCCCGGGTGAAGGCGTCAGCGTCTTACCCGGCCAGCCTTGTATTTAATGCCGCCGCTGCTCTCCTCCTTCCCCGTCCGGGTGACGCTGGAGGCCCTCCCTGGGGGTGTTCCGAAACGCTCAGCCTCCCGGAGGCCTGAGGAGCTGGGGAGAGACACATTCTGAGTCAGCGGTGGGGGACCCGGTCAGCTACCATCACCCAGAGACACACACACACACTCACACAGGTGACAATGCAGCACCTGCTGCAATTTACCGCGTACCTTCTGCGTGCTAAGCACCCCTGTGCTGCGAATGCACTCCGAAGCGTCAGGAAAATCGCCCCCGCGCTGCTTTTGAAATCTGTGTCTCCCCCGTCCCACCCCACAGTGACTTGTTGACTGAAGTGGCCCCACTACTCCCTTCTCTGTGTTAAAGCGCTGAAGGCTTCTGTTAGAATAGGATTCGGCAAACTGCGGCCTGCAGGCTGGAGCCGGCCCGCTGACTGATTTTGCAAATAAAGTTTTATTGGAACACAGCTACGCCCGTTAGTTGTTTATGTGTTGTCTAAGCCTCCTTTCTTGCTATGAGAACAGAGTTGTATACTTTTTAAAAAATGTTTATTTATTTTTGAGAGAGAAAGAGACAGAGCATGAACAGGGGACGGGCAGAGAGAGAGAGGGAGACGCAGACTCTCAAGCAGGCTCCGGGCTCTGAGCTGTCAGCACAGAGCCCGACGTGGGGTCCCTGAACCCACGAGATCCTAATTCGAGTTGAAGTCGGATGCTTAAAGAAGTGAGCCACCCAGGTGCCCCTGTATATATATTTTTTCTTTTTTTAATTTTCTTTTTTCTTTTTTAAAATTTACATCCAAATTAGTTAGCATATAGTGCAACAACGATTTCAGGAGTAGATTCCTTAGTGCCCCTGACCCATTTAGCCCATTCCCCCTCCCACAACCCCTCCAGTAACCCTCAGTTTATTCTCTATATTTAAGAGTCTCTTATGTTTTTCCCCCTCCCTGTTTTATATTATTTTTGGTTCCTTTCCCTTATGTTCATCTGTTTTGTCTCTTAAAGTCCTCATGTGAGGGGCGCCTGGGTGGCTCAGTCGGTCAAGCGTCTGACTTCGGCTCAGGTCACGATCTCGCGGTATGTGAGTTCGAGCCCCGCGTCGGACTCTGTGCTGACTGCTCAGAGCCTGGAGCCTGTTTCAGACTCTGTGTCTCCCTCTCTCTGACCCTCCCCCGTTCATGCTCTGTCTCTCTCTGTTTCAAAAATAAATAAACGTTAAAAAAAAAATTAAAAAAAAAAGTCCTCATGTGAGTGAAGTCATATGATTTTTGTCTTTCTCTGACTAATTTCACTTAGCATAATGCCCTCCAGTTCCATTCACGTAGTTGCAAATGGCAAGGTGTCATTCTTTCTGATTGCTGAGTAATACTCCACTGTACATATATACACCACATTTTCTTTATCCATTCATCCATCGATGGACATTTGGGCTCTTTCCATACTTTGGCTATTGTCGATAGTGCTGCTATAAACATTGAGGTACGTGTGTCCCTTGAAAACAGCACACCTGGATCCCTTGGATAAATACCTAGTAGTGCCATTGCTGGGTCGTAGGGTAGTTCTATTTTTAGTTTTTTGAGGAACCTCCATCCTGTTGTCTGGAGTGGCTGCACCAGCTTGCATTCCCACCAACAATGCAAAAGAGATCCTCTCTCTCCACATCCTCGCCAACATCTGTTGTTGCCTGAGTTGTTAATGTTAGCCCTTCTGATAGGTGTGAGGTGGTATCTCACTGTGGTTTTGATTTGTATTTCCCTGATGATGAGTGATGTTGAGCGTTTTTTCATGTGTCAGTTGGCCATCTGGATGTCTTCTTTGGAGAAGTGTCTATTCATGTCTTTTGCCCATTTCTTTACTGGATTATTTGTTTTTGTGGTGTTGAGTTTGATAAGTTCTTTATAGATTTTGGATACTAACCCTTTATCTGATATGTCACTTGCAAATATCTTCTCCCATCCCATCCCGTCAGTTGCCTTTTAGTTTTGCTGACTGTTTCCTTCTCTGGGCAGAAACTTTTTATTTTGATGAGGTCCCAGTAGTTCATCTTTGCTTTTGTTTCCCTTGCCCCCGGAGACGTGTTGAGTGAGAAGTTGCTGCGGCCAAGATCAAAGTGGTTTTTTGCCTGCTTTCTCCTCTAGGATTTTGATGGCTTCCTATCTTACATTGAGATCTTTCATCCATTTTGAGTTTATTTTTGTGTGTGGTATAAAAAAGTGGTCCAGGTTCATTCTTCTGCATGTCGCTGTCCAGTTTTCCCAGCACCACTTGCTGAAGAGACTGTCTTTATTCCATTGCATATTCTTTCCTGCTTTGTGAAAGATTAGTTGGTCATACGTTTGTGGGTCCATTTCTGGGTTCTCTATTCTGTTCCATTGATCTGAATGTCTGTTCTTATGCCAGTACCATACTGTCTTGATGACTACGGCTTTGTAGTATAGCTTGAAGTCTGAGATTGTGATGCCTCCTGCTTTGGTTTTCTTTTTCAAGATTGCTTTGGCTATTCGGGGTCTTTTCTGGTTCCATACAAATTTTAGGATTATTTGTTCTAGCTCTGTGAAGAATGCTGGTGTTATTTTGATAGGGGTTGCATTGAATAGGTAGATTGCTTTGGGTAGTATCGACATTTTAACAATATTTGTTCTTCCTATCCAGGAGCATGGAATCTTTTTCC